CAGCGGCACGCTCACAGTCACTGCAGTCTCGACCTGCTGGGCTCCGGGGATCCTTCCGCCTCAGCCTTCCAAGTGGCTGGAACTACAGATGCGCACCACCATGCCCAGCTAATCTTTTGATTCTCACCAAGTTGCCCAGGCTGGTCTTGAACCCCTGGACTCAGGACAGTGCTCTTGCCACGGCCTCCCAAAGGGCTGGGATTACAGGATTGAGCTACCACGCCCAGCCCGGGCCTCAGGTTTCATATCACTGAGTAGGCTGGGTTGTGAAGTGTTCAAGTCCCCGCCAGCCCTGACATTTTGTAGTCCCTGCATACTCTTTCATTTACTTCCCTCCTCCCTGCCCCATTACTCTATTTTCTCTGTGGAGATATTTGACATATATATCACACACACACACACACGCACACAGTGTGGCTATACACATTTTACGAAAGGAAAAACTGTATTAAAATTGTAATACTCCATATATACCGATAACAAAAGCTGAATACAAGTCATGTTTGACTTCTGCAATGACAAGAGCTGCTCAAAGTGGTCAGCATTCTCATCCAGACATTTCTGATGACGGCGAACTAAAAGTAACACGTAGATAACATCTCTTAAAGTGTGTATACACTTTTCTTCTGAGTTGGAGTCTCACTCTGTCGCCCAGACTGGAGTGCAGTGGCCACTCCCGGCCACCGCAGCCTCGACCTGCTGGGCTCCAGTGATCCTTCCGCCTCAGCCTTCCAAGTGGCTGGAACTACAGGCGCGCGCTACCACGCCCGGCTAATTTTTGATTTATTGTAGAGATGAGGTCTCGCCAAGTTGCCCAGGCGGGTCTCGAACCCACGGGCTCAGGCAATCCACTCACTTCGGCCTCCCAAAGCACGGGATTACAGGTTGAGCCACTGAGCCCAGCCATGTATACACTTTTTTGGCACCCCCGGTACATATATGGACAGGTGACAACTGGAAATGTATATCATCCTACAGTCGGGAAATCCTCCTCGAGGGCAAGGCTATTTCTTCTCCTGTTTTGTCCACGAGGTCCTGGGGCACATGTCAGATGTGCAGTCTGCCCTGGAATAGCGGACAGAGGGGTGCACGTGGCAGAGAGTAGGTTGACTATGACGAGTGCAGGGGCAAATGTGGGGCTACTTACAAAGAAAGGGTGAGGGTGGTTGGAGTCAGTGGACACCAATGGCCTGACTGGATGGGGCAGAGTTCATCCGGTTCCTGCTGAGACTCAAGCCTCTTTCTCTTGCTCCTGTAAAGATAGCCTCAGGCCGCAGGCTGAGGAGGCCTGGGTGAGTTCCTGCTTGAAACTGAACTGCCAGCCCTTCAAAGTCATCCTCGGGTTTATATTCCCGTGTCACCCTCAACTAAACGAACAAACAACACTCAGATGGAGAAGTCTCCCCCCAGCCCGCTCAGAGGTCCCTCATTCTGGCCAGGAGGGTTAAACGGGGTTCCCAGCCCCCGGGCTGCAAACCCATCCGGCCACAGGTTTTGGGGACCGGTTCCAGGGATGGGACGGGGCTGAGTGGCGGCCCCACCCTCTCGGCTTCCCGTTTCTTTTGTTCAGGGCAGGAGGTAAGGAAGGAGCCCTGCTGGAGGTTTGGGAAGGAGTGAGGAGGCTCCAGGGCGAGGAGTGGGGAGCCAGCTGTTGCCTGATTTGGGGAATTGTTTTTGAATCCTCCCAGCAGGAGGCCCAGAGATGGTGGAAATTAAGTGCATGACTCCCCTGAGGCTCCGTGGAGCCCTGTCGCCGTCCTGCCGAGTCCTGGGTGATAATGGGGTCTTCCGGAGGGTCTCTGCGGGATCGCTGGTGATGGCGGCCTTCCACTGGAGAGGCCCCAATAAACCCCGAGGCCCTAAGTCAGGGCCTGCCCTGCAGCGGGTAAATGAATGAACGAATGAACAGATGGATAAATGACCGGGAGGGCAGATGAGGATTTGAAAAGGATTGTAAAGCTGCCAGACTCCCTGTGTTAATGCCACTTTCACTCTTGCTGAAGAAAAACACTCCTTGGCTGAGCAGCCAAGAGAGAAAGCCTGTTTTACAGGAGGAGGGGAAGGGTGGGGGAGAGGGGGAAAAAAATGAATGGATTTTGTGTTTTGACATATTTACTAAGAAATGTGGAAACTGCTTAGCACCTGCTAATTAGAGTCAGAGCAACCTGCGTTCTCTGCAATGTGCAAATGCCAAGGTTAGCTGGCGTCTGAAGGATCCGTGGATTTCCCAAGGGGATTGTGGGCTTTTCCCGATTGTGGGTGGAGGACCACAGAAAGTGGAAGCGAGGAACAGAGGGGGTGGGGTGGAGAAGGGCTGGGCCATTGAACACGGCACCTTAGATTTCCCGGCATCTTTTCTCCGGCAGAGGCCAAGCACTTTCTTGTTCCACAGATGCCCAGAATGATGGGGCCGCTGCTGGGGATGGGCTGGGGGGAGGGGTGGCTTTGGAAGACTGAGGGAGGAGGATCACTTGATCCTAGGAGTTGGAGACTAGCCTAGGCAGCATAGTGAGACCTTGTCTCTACAAAAAGAAAAATAAAATTTAAAAAACCGCCAATCATTGGTGGCATGCACCTGTGGCCCCAGCTCCTTGGGAGGCTGAGGCAGAAGGATTGCTTGAATCCAGAAGGTTGAGGCTGTGGTGAGCTGGGATCATGCCACTGCACTCCAGCCTGGGCGACAGTGAAGGAAAAAAGAAAAAGTGAAGAGAGGAAGAAGAGGCGATATGATTGTTGGGAGGATTATATGGGATGAGGCAAACAAATTCCTAGGGCCAGGCCCAGTTATAGTCAATAACTGTAGACTCACGATGTTCCCTCTTCCAGGACCTAATTCCAATGTTACCTCTACAAGAAGTCACCACTGACCTGCATGATCTTAATCCCACTTTGCTTTTTTTTTGAGCTGGAGTCTCACTCCATCGCCCTGGCTGGAGTGCAGTGGCATGCTCACAGCCACCCCAGCCTCGACCTGCTGGGCTCAGGCGATCCTTCCCGCCTCAGCCTTCCAAGTAGCTGGAACTATAGGCACGCACCACCACACCCTGCTAATTTTGATTTATTGTAGAGATGAGGTCTTGCCAAGTCACCCAGGCTGTTCTCGAACCCGTGGGCTCAGGCAGTCCTCTCACCTCGGCCTTCTAAAGTGCTGGGATTACAGGCTTGAGCCACTGCACCCCCGGTCTGCTCATACTTTTGTGAGAGTGTTTTCCACAACACAGTGCCATTTCTGATCACATGTCTGTCTTTCCCACTAGAGCACGAGCTCCCAGGTGTGCCTTCCTCCTCTTGGTGTCCCTTGC